GTATATATATGTGTGTATATATATATAAGTATGTATATGTGTGTATATATATAAGTATGTATATATATATAAGTATGTATATATGTATGTATATATATATATAATATATATATAATATATATATACACATACATATATATATACTTATATATATATACATATATAAGTATATATATGTATTTATAAAAGTATGTATATATGTTATAATGTATATATATATGTATATATATACACATACATATACGCACATATATATATATATAAATATATATACATACATACATACATTATAACATGCATACTTATATGTACGGTTGGGTCAAATTTGTGTGGTGGTTGAAAAATACAGTCTTTATGGCCCAAAATAGTGATTTCAGACTACATTGGTAATGTAATTCGACAGGCAAATTACAGTAACATTTTTAGCAAATTTCTTTGAAAAAATATCGTAGGCATAGGGCCTAGCTACGTATACAGTATTTTCATTTTACAGTACGTAGTTTGGAACGATATCAGAAGTGGGGGTGCTGGCTGTGGCCTGCTATTAGGACTACAATTTATTTGAAAATATCTTGGGTCCGATCGTCCACACCAGTTGGGCCCAATCGTCTATCACCCGAAGTTTTCATTACGATTATCAAGAACGTACACGATCTATGCCCTGGGCTAGGCTTAGCTTGCTGTCGTCACTCTGCTACGTATACTACACTACAACCGTATAACAAAGAAAGCGACCCACGTGGTGCATTCTTAAATATTACACACATTATTTAATTGTATTAGACGATAACACGATATCATTGATTGAACGATCTAACTAGGCCTACCCTTGCATCGCAGTAATACTGAACTAGGCCTAGCTTAGGCCTCATGTTTTTGTGGAAAGCTAGATAGTCGTTATGTACCCAACAGTCGGCTGCCTTTATATTTTCACCTGTTTTCAGTTTGCATTCAAAGAGTACATTGCTGCACAGCCAACTGTCGGGGATATAGTACCTTCATATGACTACTCATACGTATACAACAGAAAAAAACGTTGCATGGACTAAGTGAAAAATGGACATCTAAATGAAGAAACGATGTATTTCAGCAAGTATTAAAACATTTTAGTTTTATTTTAGGCCTTCTTCAAAATACCTATGCCTACAGCAGATGAATTTTTTTCCGTAAAACCAAAATAGTTTCATCCATGCCGACATTCCGGTCGGTTAGCGTGAGCCCTGACTGAACTCTGCAAACTTCACATCGATCTTCGCATCGCGATGTAAAACAAAATGTCGGAAAACTTTTCTTTGACGCATGCGCATTTGCATAAATGTCTACACACACACATACACACTACACACAATAAAAAACATAGGAAATAGCAAGAGTGATTACAATAGTTCCTATTGCATTACATGCATAGGAACTAAAAATATGTCAGGATTTTTCAACTATAAACAACTACCAAAAACAATATCAAGTGTACAGGTCTCCCTCTAATTAAAGACCACCTCCAATTAAAGACCACTTTTCAGTAGTCCCAAATTAACAAATTTCTTTTATTTCTATTATTCTAATTAGAGACCAAAGCTAATGACCATGCGAACTCTGGTCCCAGAAGCGGTCTTTAATTGGAGGGAAAACTGTAAATGGCTTGTATCTTGTGAATGGGGCTACCACTGTATAGTAAATATATTCTGTATTAAAATTAAATAAGACAAAGAATTTTGAATATTGCGGTTATGAAAATACAAAATTAAGTACCTGTTAAATTGGATGAACACAAGATTCCATAACTCAAGTACATCCGGGTCATCCAGGTTCACCAGGTGCTTTGCATCTCGTCCGCCAATGCGGTCATAATGAATCTCGGTACATGGTCCGCATGGCCCGGTGTCACCCATCTCCCAGAAATTGTCTTTCATTCCGAATGGGAGAACTCGGTCTTCAGAGATTCTATAATGAAATATTACATATTTCAATCATTAAGTATGATTAATAATATTATACGATGTCTTCAATTTGTTATAAAAATTTCCAGAATATTAAAATAAACAATTAAATCAATACATACATATATAATTATAATAAATATAATATGTTAGACTTATATAGCGCTTCATTACAGCAAGGCCTCTAAGCGCTTTACATTATTACCCGTGGTCATTGGAACACACGCTCAGCTCCAAGGTAGAGAATTCCATAATATTGCAGCTGTAATCAGTGCGTTTTTTTGTGCTCCTGGGTGGAATGAGACAACCGTAGGTGAAGTGTCTTGCTCAAGGACACAAGCAAACTTGCACAGCGAGGGATTTAACCTCAGACCTATTGCTGAGAAGCAGAACCAAAACCACTCCTATATAATTTTTTATATTCCAATTCTAAATTTGCTTTCAAGATGTACTTCAGTTTTCTCTACACACGACCAATTAATTCATCTTTTTTCTTTACTCACCCTAGGTCTATCCAGATCTGCCGACACTCTAGGTCAGGCTCTAGGCCTGCCTCTTCAAAACCGCCAAAATATGTGACGTAGAGTCTGTCCTTCTCCAGCTTATAGACATTGGTCATCAGGTCCCAGGCCATTGCACAAGCTTCTTTCTAAATGAAAATAATTTAACACATTGACTGCCAGACCTATTTTTAAGGTTCCTTCCCTTGTGCCAAAACAAGTTTACATGACAAACATACTTTTTTGAAATTTTATTTAGTCATATATCATCAAAATGATGTGTCTAATAAATTGGCGAGAAAATATTAGGGGTGGGGGGTGCGAGAAAACTTGTCGACGGCACAGTGATAGCACTTTTTATTGACTATGCGAAGTGCGAGTTATCTTGTCCGCTTTTTGCATAGGTTGGTATATGTTCACTTGTGACGCTCGAGTGTACTACCGGCAACATAACACAACAAACATACATAAGTTGTTATACGTTATCGTCCAAGTGTATCTTCCTCTAACTACCAGCCGTTGAGTCTGTGGTTCTACTATGTATAACAAAGAAGTTATAAACGCTAGAATGTTACCCCAATTTTGATGAGTATACTCGTCCCTGGCACCCTCAGCAACACCCTGTGGGCGTGTATACTCGTCGCTGGCAGTCAACGTGATTATAATCCATTCCGCACCTCCCCTAAATTGTTTTTTTTAAATTTTTTTTTTTAAACAGATAGAATATAATAAAACTGATATTGGTCCTTTTCAAACAAAACAATAGTGTCAATATAAGGTTGCTTCTGATAGAAAAGTAAATAGAGCCTTAAATTACCAATCAACCAATACAAACCTTGAAGAAATCACCGAATGACCAGTTGCCCAACATTTCAAAGAATGTATGATGGTACACATCCTTGCCTACATCATCAAGATCGTTATGCTTTCCCCCGGCACGAATACACTTCTGCGAATTAACCGCACGCTTCAGCTTTCCCATGTCGCTATTTGGATCAACTGTGCCGAGGAATATTGGTTTGAACTGATTCATACCAGCATTGGCAAAGAGAAGCGTGGGATCGTCCATGGGGATTGTAGATGACGAGTGAACATATTTATGGTCGAGTGTTTTGTGCTTCTTGAAGTAATCAAAAAACATCTCACGGACTTGGGCGGAAGTTAAGCTTGTATCCATGGTTTGTAAGGCTATTTTGTAACCACTGTAACAGGAAAGAAATTTAATAATTTAAATTTTATTCACCCAAAAAAGTAAACAAAGTTTTAGTACAGTAACAATTGAAATGGGGATTTTTTTTTTTTTATTTCAAAATGTGAATATGAAAGTAAATATTTCAGAAATTAAAATTTACAATTCAAAACTGCTACAGCTGGGTTCAAAAATGTAAATAATTTTTTAAATATTATATTTTTCTAACTTATTTAAAAATGCATTTTAATTCATGAAAACAGTATAAGCCTAGCCCAGGCTAGTCTAAAAATTGTAAAAAAAAAACAAACTTCACACAATGGGGAATTCTACTCTGGTCGTACTACAGGCCTGAACCCACAGGCCTAGATGCACAAAATAATTATAGGCGGGCGGGGCACACGCTCAATCTAGCCTTTTTGGTTTCATTCGCAAAGTGAGCGCAAGGCTAGGGTGAAGCAACAACAAACCATCTGCTAAATAGTAGCACAACTTTTCAGCTACTGTACACCTTAGTAGTGTACTATGAAAGTTAAAAATGTTATTTATATATATATATAAAAAGATAAAAACTTACTAAAATTAGAACTTCACAACTTTTAGGTAACCACACAACTCAATTTCATCAGCCAACGTGTTATTTCGTTTCGTCGGTTGACGCAATAAATGTGTCTATCACCACGGTTGGTCACAGTGCACTATCCTCTCTCCACACACGAGGCACTGTTATATGGGTAGTACATGTCAAATTCTATAGGCACGGTCACCGGGTTTTTGTTGTTTTGTTGTTGCTTGCTTTATCCTGTGATCCAGTTGCATATAGGCTACATGATCTGTTTCCATACGAGCTTAAATTTTGAACTATCCAAGGTTCGTTTAATTTGTTCTTGCGAAAATTCATTTGGTTGTTCTTCAATACATTCTCTATAAACCAAACCATTTATACAAATATTACATATTATAACAATACAACTTCTTGGGCTTTAAATCTAGGCCTAGGGCCTAGCCGGGGTAGGTAAGTAGGCGTCACTCCCGGTGTGACAGCTCAGCGCTGGTGACAAGCCTTGGCCCTAGTAGGTAGTACTACCTAGGCCCGGGTCTGGGCCCTAGGCCTAGTAGACCCAAAAGTCAAAACCTTAGTAATAGCTATCTAGAGGCTAGGCCTAGGCCTGTAGTACTAAACCAGCCAATGCCATTATGAATACCGAGGTCCTTATTGTGTAATTTTATTTTTAATTAAAATAAGACAGTCCTTCTTCAGACACAGTGTGGCTAGACTAGGCTAGCCACTGATGGGACAGTACATAACGAATTACCTGCCCTCATCACTTTTATTTTAAAAAAGAGTGAAAATCTAATAATATATTTTTTTCTGTGTGCCCTGAATTGTTGCAGGAAAAGCATTCATTGTTTTACTAACATGTATGTGATGTTCATGAAAGGAGGTTGCTGAAAAAGAGAGGGATATCTGTCACAGTCCTTAGCTCATATAAGGCATAATCCTAATTATTTAACCATATATTTTCATATCACTTTTCATCACTTTTAAATGCCAATAAATCCTGACCAGACTATCAAATTTTATTGTGACATGCCTAAATGGTCATGATGACATCATATAAAATACATGGTAAATTACTATTTAATTTTTTTCTCTTTGATATTGTAGATTAAGTATGTCATCACGAGCTGTTAGGAAACTCCATGGTGACACTAGCTTGGATTTTCTTGCCCCTGTACTTGAACGGGAATCAGACACCTCAGGGGATGACCAGACGCCAATCAAGACAAAGGCGAATTTATTTGAGCTCGTAAGTTAAGCACTGTTGCAGCCAACTGAGTGAGTCGGGAAAGAACGGTCTAGGGTCCTAAATAAGCAATGTTATCTTTTACGGTTTTGCCAAAACTTTCATGTGGAGAGAAAATTAAAACTGGTCTCCCTCCAATTAAAGACTACTTCTCGGATCAGAGTTTCCATGGTCTTTGGTCTCTAAATTAGAATGATAAAGATAAAGACATTTGTTACGTTTGACCACAGAAAAGTGGTCTTTAATTGGAGGTAATCTTTAATTGAA